AAAAAAAAATAGACGGATCTATAAACTTGATTGAAGAACCGTCTACTCGTTGCTCTTTTACAGATAAGCAAGCAAGCCTTATCTGATTTAGATCCGCGATCACCCATTTCAGTTACCATCATCTTTAGTGATATTACCGTACCCTGAGTCATTAATCAGGCCAGCAAAAAAGTTTCCTTAATTACCTTGGTTACTAAAGCTTTAGGGCTTCCCCGGAAGTTTGGCTCTTTTGCACATATAATGAATAGCCTACAAACATTATTTTTTTATGCGTCACATTTAACTCCTAATGCTGGAATAGCAAAGGAGTGGATAACCGAAAGTTTACTTTTCCATGATCTAAATATTTTATTCTTATAACACTTTGTTGGAACTCTATTACTTATGGGCTAGTAATCACCAAATATTTATAGTTTGGTATTAGTTAGGTTGTATTAGTATAGTAAGTGTAACCTAAATAAGATTCGTTGGTATTTAAACAACTAGCTATCTTATTACGGTTAGCCTTAATATTTATACTATCAAAGTATTTAACTAATGAGGTTATGCTAGGAAAATGCTGTGTTACTCCTGTAACATCTTGTTTAATATAGATTGATTTACTGTTTTTCAAAGAAAAATCTTTTTTTAGAAATAATCATCTTTTGTCCGAAATAAATTTAGATAACTCTTCTAAAGATAAACCAGCTTTTTTTGCATCTGGTTTTAGTTGATCTGAAATCATGAAATAATCTAGATAAAGTGATCCGGTTTTTATACATTTTGTAACAGTAGAATGATGTATACCTAAATTAGCTTTCAATCCATTAAAAGAAGTCGCAGTGTAATATAAAATCTTACCCTCAAGATCATATAGATAAACAGTATTTCCTTGATTAACTCTAAAATTAACAACTCTTTGAGTATTTAAATTAAAATTACTATCTAATAAGTGATATTGCTCCAAAAATAAAAAGTTATAATCTGAGCTTAATTCTTCCTAATTTTTTCTTTACTTTTGCTAAAACTTACAACGGATCATAAGCAAAAGTAAAGAAAAAATAAATAACAAATATTTCCAGATTAAAAGCAGAAAACCCTTCTTTTTTAATCAAAGGAAGTAATAAACCATATTCCTTATAAAGGGTTAGGGTTAAAATATTGTTCTAATCTTCTTGAAAGACTATTACTTGACCCCACATATTTTCTACCAGTAGCTAAGTGTGTAAAAATATATATACCGGCTTTAGGTCTTCTGCTTTTAGGTTTACCTCCTTTGGGGGTAAACCAGCGGAGCCGGTTTACCTACTAAACCAAATAAAGCTGGTAATGTTTGACTATCGAAGGGTAAGTCAAAAGTTACACCTTTAATATTTAACAATACATCCAGTTCCTTTTGTGTAATAGAAACACCTTGATTAGCTAGTACTTTATTAATTTCTTCACTTGTGATACGATTGTGGTTATTTTCCGAATAAAACCTACAACCATGCATATTGGGTAGAATTCTTGTTCTTCTAAACAGAATACTGGATTTAAGAACAGAAACTGGATTACGTGGTCTAGGACATCGAGAATATTTATTTATCACTAGAAAGGCAAAAGAACACTTAACCGAGAGTTTACTTCACCATGATCTAATAATCTGGTTTCATTCTATTCAAAATTTTCTACTCGTATGTACCACCGCCAAATCGTATAAGAATTACTCCATTGCGTTTATTAATAAATAATTAAAATATTTAGATTTTAGGTATAGCTGTAAACCCAACGACCTATTATCAGATCGACTAGAGTATACCTTAATCTAGAATAGTTGAGTGTAACCTCTTTTTACTATTATAGACCACTACCGTCTACTCGTTGCTCTTTTACAACCTACTGCACTATAATGATGTAGCCTAGCAATCTTTCTTTGCTGTTGTAGCGTGAATTACAAGATTGTAGGGTTACCAAATAAGGTAACTAGGTGATTTAGATCCACGATAACCCATTTAACTTTCGTATATACCTTTTGATATTACTATACCTATGATCATTAACATAGCCGCGTTTAACCTTTTGAGATAAACGTTTAGTTAAAAGGTCTTTAGGGTGTCCCCGGAATTTGATAGTGTATAGACGTTAAGAGTTACTTGCTAAAGGTCCTCAGTTCATCTGCAGCAGTAAGAATAAATCTAGTGTGTGTAATTTCAGGAAGGATAACTCTGTTATCTACTTCTAACATTCTTAACGCTCCATCTTCTAAATCAGATTCAGGTACTAAGTAAGAATCAAACTCAACAAAATCTCCATCACTATTTAAGAAATCTGGGTATTCATAACTTCAATATCATTGGTGTCCCTCTGCTAATACAGATAATGAAGGATCTGTAACTTCATCCATTAAATATAATAATTTAAAAGAAGGGAAAGCTATTAATACTAAGATTAAAGCGGGAGTTATAGTTCAAATTAATTCGATTAATGTCAAAATATTGGACTAAATCTTCTGGGTCTTTACCCAGTTACGCATATAGTCTCTGAGGATCCCCTTTTTTTTTATAAAATGGGTTTCCTGCTGATTATTCATTGTTACATCCTACCTCTGTATGTAAACTGAAGTCTAACATAGAGGTCCTTATAGGTAGAGCTATCACATATATAAAATATAGTATCTAAGGCTTTAGAAGTTTCCAGCATATAGCGAATTTTTACTCATAGTTATTCAAAATTTATTTAGATGAAAACTTATATCTGTCTTTAAATATAGCCCCTGACTGCATATACCTAATAACAGTACTACCACTGATACCTAAGAATTTTGCAGCTCTTCTAGCTGAAACAAAACTACCTATTAATTCAAACCCTTTTGAAGAAGATTTTTCATAAATATTAACAGGGTTTCCATGTGTTTTACTCATTTTATCCTTAGTTTCACATGAATGTTTTCTATTTAAAGCTCTTTGTCTCATAAGCTCTTTAGTATCCTCATTGTGGGTTTTTCCATATAGAGGGTTGTTTTCACCTGCTTTACTTAAACTCATTTTTTTCTTAGTCTCTTCTGTGTGGAAACGACCAAATAGAGCAGATTTGTCTCCAGTATAAATACCTTTCAATGCTTTACTTATTTTTAATCTGGTTTCCTCAGCGCAGCAGCCTCAGTCTTCTTTTCTTCAAAAAGAAGACGCCGAGGCTGATTGTTTAAAACCTAAAGAACTACCTGCTATTTTTAAAATATTATACTGGGGATTGAATTTGTCTAGGTAGTGTTGCTCTCTAGCAGTTAGGTCACATCTATCACAATATTCCAATATGGATACAGAAAAATTAGCATATCCGTATTTTATTAAAGCCCTACTTATAATAAGTTCTTTTCTACTTTTTATATAGCTAATTGTAAAATATTTTCTAAATCTTTTGGACAGATCTATAGATTGTCCTATGTACATATCACCTGTAAGTAAATTAGTTCACATGTAAATACCAGACTTACCTGTGTTTTCTTTTAAAATAGCCTTTTTCATAGAATAAGCATTTACGTAAACTAAAGGGTTAATAGTATCTTTATTCACATTGGACAATTTGGTATTATATTGATCTTGCTCTTTATTAGTTGAAGTAGAATAAGTCCGTACAGGAAATAAGAATTTATGGTTTAAGGGGTTTATAGCACTAAATTTTGAGTACTTTTGAGTAGGCACATTAATACCGTGGTTAAGATATTTGTTACTTATAGGTGTTTTAGAACTATCAAAATTTTTAATAATAGCTCCTTGTATTCAACCTACAGCAAATAAAATAGCAACTAAGTAATACATAATATTATCCGCTTTTTCATTAGAATATAATAAGTTTATAAACCCAGCCGCGGGAGCTTACGCCCCCCCTTATAGCTTCCTTCACTAAAACTTAGTTTACGGTAGGCAGCAGAGAGAACATTTATATTTTAAACTTATTATACCTAATATACCAATAAATAAACCTGCTAGTTTGAGTAGTTACTTTTTATATTTGTGTGGATATTAAAGTTATTTAATGGTTAATTTCTCATCCATTTACTATATACTCGTACGGTATATAAATTAATGAATCCTAGACTTTCTATAGCTAATACTACAAAATGTTTCTAATTATTATCATCTTCCTTCCTAAATGTATTCATTTGATGTTTTATTTTTAATATCTTCTCAGATCCCTCGTTAGTAAGATGAGCTTTTGAAGTCATTATTTTGGCGATATCCGTCCAACATTCAAATTCTTTACGTTTAGAACCCAGTATTGGGAAATTTGTAAAGAAAGGAATGATAATTTTATTTATATCTGGTAACTTAGTTACAACATAATTATCGTAAACCATTCTAGATACTTCAACTCTACCGCAGTTAAAGAAAGAACAAATTTTGTGCATAACTAAAGAATCCCGACTGTGCTGTGTAATTTGACAACCTAGCCCAAATCTAAGCTCATTGTTCTTATTGTAAATAGACTTTACAAAGAAACAACCTTCAGCGTCCATAAAACCAGCTACCCAGTAAGGGTTTAAACTCTCAGGTGTTACCACCACAGGAATTTCTTTCCCCTTAATATAAGGAAATTTTTCCAGTAGTTTTGCGGGCAACCCTTTATTCATAGAAGCCCTTATAGCCAGAATTTTATTAAACCCTTCAACAGTTAAATGCTGTTTATTTTTAATACATTCTAAGGCTTCCTTGAATAGTAAGTAATCTCCCCCTTTTTTTGTGATTAAAGGGTAAAGGTCAAAATGATTTAGAATAATATCTAAATCCTTAATAGCAAAAATTCTATACTCCACCATATTAGACCGACTACTAGGTTTTACTACCCCTACGCCACCAAAAAACTCTTTAAGTAATAATAAAAATTCTTCATCCTTTTTGTGTAAAGCTATAGAAAAACCAGGATTAACATAATAACCTAATTTATATCTAGGGTTTTCACCTATGGCTAAATGAAAACATGCCTCACCATCACAAAACCCTGTCACATAAGCAGGGTGTAACTTATTCAAATTAGCAGAAAAAGCAGGATTTAGGTTAAATTTAGCTGAATGCGTTTTCGATCCAAATTTAGGATCATTCCGTCATGCAAGGCTTAACCAAAAGGAATTTTCCGTATATTTATTCAATAATATAAGATATATACAATTTCGCCGTATACCGTGCGAATCTTAAATAAAGTAAGTCCGGCTTAGCAGAAACCTTACCTAGTAAGTATTTTAAACTCGTAAGTCTTTACTTCCTAAGTTCTTATGTTATTAAATCGAGATTCATATTAAACTATTTATCTCCGCGTTTTTACGGTATAAATTTAAGCAAACTCTGACCCAGCCAGGTTTTATTTTTAATTCTCATAGAGAATATAAAAAAAAATTAGGTGATACGCAGAAGTCCCCGGCTATTACATAAAGCTCTCGAGGGAGACTTCGTATTTCGTATAGCTTACCGTTAACTTCTTAGTAGAAGTGAAACACCACGAAACCGAAACTGGTCAGCACCCTGAAGGATTTGAATAGAGCCTGCTAGGATTTTCATGCTATATATTTATTTATTTAGATCCTTTGATTTCTCAAAGGGCCAGAGTACACCTTACAGTTAAAAACTGAAGAGTCGTCTACTCGTTGCTCTTATACAATAAAATATTATTTTACTGATTTAGATCCGCGATTTTCCATTTTAAGCTGTTCTAACTTCTATCTCTAACTTTATTACCTTACCTTAGTTATTAGTTAAGCCAGATAAAAATTGACTTTATATCCTTGGTAGTTAGAGCTTTAGGACGTCCCCGGAGTTTGACTCTTATACACAAAATTCATGTAATTCTACTAAAGCTTCCATTTGTGGGCTAGCACTATCTTGGAAGTAAAGTCCTCAAGCTCTAGGTGCATCACATATAAATTCGTTTGATATAGTAAATAAAAAGCTTATACCTAGAAAAAGAGAACTTAATATACCACTACTTTGTAATGGTAAGCTAGTAAATGCGTGAGGTTTAGGTGGGCTATGTAATGCTCATTCTAATCCTGGAGCACATTTATCTTTAAGTATACGTAAGTAATCACTAAATAATTGAGGAACGGCTCAAGGGTATCCAAAGATAGCTTTACCTTTAACAAGTTGTAAGTATACAATATGTAAGAATAATGCTGTAGCAGCTACAGAAATTATAGAACCGATACTACTAATAAAGTTTCAACCTGTAAAAGCATCAGGATAATCACTAATTCTACGTGGCATACCTTGTAGCTTTTCTTGCTACTAAATAAATAAATTTATTGCAGTTCAGAATAGAAGTATTTATCTTTATATGTTTTATCTGTATCTAAATATTTTTTAATTGTTTCAAAAGCTATGTGTAAATCATTTACAGCAAATTTTATACTATCATAACATTTAATAAATTGTTTGTTACTATCATAAACATAAACCTTTTTTCTTATTTTCGCTAAGGTTTCTTCAGACTTAGTTTTACCAAACATAGGATTATTAGAACCTTTTCTATCTTTATACATATGTGCAACAAATTCCTCGGACTTTTCCTTATTAAACATAGGATTTAAGGCACCTAATTTAGATTTACTCATTTTCTCTAAAGTAGCAGGAGTGTGGTGTTTAGATCAGAAAGGATTTAATTCACCTGAAAATAAAAGACTTAATCTTTTCTTAGTCTTTTCAGATAAAGGTTTACCTTTACGAAACTCAGACATAAGTCTTTTAGATTCTTCTGAATGATTGAAACCCATACTTGATCCAGCAATAGGATTTAAATTAAGAACTGGTAAATATAAATCAATATACTTTTGTTCTTTACTAATAATATCTTTCTTTATAGATATATCAGTATTACCTAAAACATATAAAATAACTACAGAAAAATTACCGTGTCCATATTTTAAGATAGAATTAGAAATATAACGATTATCAACCAAACGAGAAGGGAAATAGTAAGTAGCAAGTCTTTTTGCTAAATCCGTACCACTACCTACGTATTGTTTACCGTTTACGTTGTTATGAATAAGATATATACCACTTTTATTTAAAAATTCTCTTAAAATTGTTTCTCTGTCATTTAAAAGATTATATACCGGAGAAACTGTAGAAGATTTTAAATTAGCTAAATTTAATTTATGTTGTTGGTTAAATTTATGTTTATGTTCAATAGTCGTTAAGTTATTATTATTTACTGTTTTTTTAACAAAATCATCATCATCTGGATCTTGTTCAGTCCCAAAATTAGGGTTTTGTACAGATTCAGAATTACTATTTATTTCTGAATTACTAGATTGATTTGAAGTTTCAGATGAAGCTTCATCACAAAAGCTTTTTAGATACATTTTATTATTATAACTGAGGTAATCATAATTAATAAAAAAATAAAATACAAGTAGCAAGATGTAATTTAACATATCACTATGTTAAAGGACTATTTCTTCAACTTTTAAGTTGCAACACGTATAGTCTCTGAGGATCCCACTTAAGTTAAAAGATAGATATATTAACTCTTAGGTTTCCTGCTAATTGTCTATTATAGTCCGTAGTACCAAATAGAGTTTCTAGCATACAGTGTTGTGCAAATATCATTTATCAATCATAAAGGGCCTACATTAATATGACCTAAGAAATGTTGAGGGAAGAAAGTTAAATTACACAGTAACTGTGGACTATATCATAACATTAAACCAATAGTTTAATGTTTCTTTCGTGTAGTCTCTGAGGATCCCCTTTTTCAATAAAAATGGATTTCCTGCTGATTGTTTAGATATACTTAACATTTTTACTGGTTAATTACAAAAAGATATTATTTAAGGGTTGAAAAAAAAAA